TGAACTTTTCCCATGCCATAAAAGAGGGCTCCCCGGATATCCGGCCCCCCGTCGTGGTCAGAAAGGCTTCATCTTTTTCTTCGGAGGACAGGAAGAGTGGTGAGAGCACCCGCCTGAAAGGCTGATTGGAAGATTTTTCTAATGAAAAATGGCGAGTAAGCGGTCCCGAAGGCAACTTTTGAAGAAATTTTGACTATATCCCGGGAATTGCAGTAGAGGTTTGAAATTGGTAGGTTGCTCTCTCTTCCCCCACCGCCTTCCTCCCTATTACGAAATACGCTGTTATCTTGTCTCTCCATCTATCTGTGTATATCTAACAAACCCCGACCCAGACGAAGCAACCCTCCGCCGCTCCCTCTTCGAAAACACCGGCGGCTCGTATCCAGAACTAATAACACGGGGCGACATCAAGCTCTTCCTCCCCCCCATAGGCGGCCTAACTGTCTACTGCTTCGGCGACCCAGCTAAGATGTCCGACCCCAGCGCTCGACTGGCCCTGCGCGTCCACGACGAATGCAACGGCAGCGACGTCTTCGGGTCCGATATCTGCACCTGTCGGCCCTATTTAATATTTGGGATTGAGGAGGCGGTGAAGGAGGCGCAGCGGGGCGGGAGCGGGGTTGTGATTTATTTTAGGAAGGAAGGGAGGGCGTTGGGGGAGGTTACAAAGTATTTGGTTTATAATGCGCGTTAGTATATTTTAGCTGGCTGGTTTGCTGGCTAATTCCTGTCCCTGTGCCTGTTCCCTGGTTTTTGGGATGCTTGTTTGTTTCATTTTGACTTTTACTAATGAGGTGCGCATGGATATAGGGAAGCGGGGATCTGATCGTATGTTCCTTTTTCTTTTTCTTTTTTTCCCCCCCATTGTCGGAGGGAGTGTGGAGTGTAATGACGGATACACGGGGCTAATGAGAGTGTAGGCGCGAGCGAATACTTCAAACGAACCGAGAATATCGCAGGCGTTAAGGTACGAAACTCGCTGCTCAGTTGCAATTGCTCGATATCTAACATATCCTCCAGGACATGCGTTTCCAAGCTCTAATGCCAGATGTACGTAACTCCCTGCAAAATCTAACAATATACGAAGCATATGCACCCATATAATCGAGTCATCCATCCATTCAACCTTCCTGACTAAACTACCCACTACACCCTTAGATCCTCCACTGGCTCGGCATCACCAAAATCGACCGAATGCTAAGCATGTCAAAGTAAGTCCCGTCCCATCCCTTGCCTGTGAGAGCAGATAAAACACCACACCACCGCTTCGAACAAGCTACTAACTCAACCGTCCCCACAGCATGAAACACGACGCGATTGTTGAGCAAGGCATCCCCATCCTCGAGCGGGTGCCTATCCCTGATGAACTGATACCGGAAGATAGCCGGGTGGAGATCGATGCGAAGATACATGCCGGTTACTGTAAGGAAGGGAATATTGCTTCCCATCATCCCTTCAATTTCCTTTTATGGGTTTGTTATTGGGTTCAAATTGCTAATGGTGCTGTTAATGCGCGATGATGCAGTTACCACGGGCAAAGTCATGAGTATGGAAGAGCTTTCTCAGGTGCAGGGGCGGGCGTGGGAGGATGTTGATGTAAGTTGATTCCATTTTCCCTTTGCAGTTGAGCTCCGTATGGTCGTTTACGGGCGAACTTTGTATTATTGATGCTAAATGCCTCTGTAGCATTGAGGGGGAGGAAGGTCTAGGTCTAGGTCCGGTCCGGATGTCGTGCAGAGGTGGTGTGGAAGGCATGAACCGTTCGCAGGAACAGAAGATGTAGGACCAAGCAATGCCTCTTAACGACGCATATGCCATATGCCACCTTTTTTTTAAATTTTTTTTTATTTCACTTTCCCTTCTTTCATGATCATTTGCACCATTCGGATAGAACTTTTTTCCACTATTTGGATATCCGTGAATTCGATTAAGATACAATACCCAGGGTAGATGTTTAAAATGGAAAATATCTGAACTTTAGACATAGGCAACTAGAGTTACGTTTTAATTACTTTGGATATCCCATGCATTGACTCCCTTGTCTGCCAATCAATCCACACAAGAAAGCATCACAGATAGATATATTCATCCAACTGTTACCGATGGATGTTCTCTTCTGGCTCCATGCCAAGAAATAGGGTTGCCTCTGCTTATATAATACACACTAGCCCTCTATGGCTAGCGGCCCAGGGCTCGCTTAGCGGGAAATTTGTGTGGGATTTTCCTTATTCAACATCAAACAAAGAGCCAGACGTTTGTCGAAGATCTGTGCTTGTCGCTATCTCCAACATCTCGACAACCCGACCCCTCAACCCCCTGGCTCCATTCAAGGCCCCGGATGCGATAATCTGATCTGTCTTTGCCAGCTGCAAGATAGGCCCGAGTCGCAAATATGGCTGTCGGAAAGTATGTTCATGTTGTTTATTACCCTTTCTCTTTTGGATGTGGGATTGAGCATGAGGATGAGAGTGGGAGTGGGAATGGGAATGGGAATGGATTAGGGATTAGGGATCATTGATATGCTGATGGATTGTGTGTTCAGGAACAAGCGCCTGTCGAAGGGTAAGAAGGGCCTGAAGAAGCGGACTCAGGATCCCTTTTCGAGGAAAGATGAATATTCTGTCAAGGTATGTGATGTTAATATCGTGACCACCCTGGGGGTGGGGAGAATTTAGACATACATATGTACAAAAATACTAATAATCTCTCTTTTCAATCTCTCAGGCTCCCTCGACCTTTGCCATCAGAGAGTACAAGAATCTACCCGCCCCAATCCATAACACAGATATCCACCGAAAAACAAATCCCATACATAAAGGAATGCCAGTATGCTAACATGATACCCAGCGTTGGCAAAACTCTTGTAAACCGCACAACCGGCCTCAAGAACGCCAACGATGCCCTAAAAGGCCGCATCTTTGAAGTCTCACTCGCTGACCTCCAAAACGACGAAGACCATGCCTTCCGCAAAGTGAAACTTCGCGTTGACGAAGTCCAAGGTAAAAACTGCCTCACAAACTTCCACGGCCTCGACTTCACCTCCGACAAGCTGCGTTCGCTCGTGCGCAAATGGCAGACCCTCATCGAGGCCAACGTCACCGTCAAGACCACAGACGACTACCTCCTGCGCCTGTTCGCCATTGCCTTCACCAAGAGACGGCCTAACCAGATCAAGAAGACGACGTATGCGCAGTCGTCGCAGATTCGAGCTATTCGGAAGAAGATGGTTGAGATTATTCAGCGGGAGGCAGGGACGAGGAGTTTGGCGCAGCTGACGAAGCTTATTCCCGAGGTTATTGGAAGGGAGATTGAGAAGGCGACGCATGGGATTTATCCGTTGCAGAATGTGAGATGTTACCACCTGTTTCTAATGGCGCTGTTCGCTGGTTGTTTGCACTAGTTGGAACGTTGATACTAATTTCGCTCGTTTATCTTTGCGCTGTATAGGTCCACATCCGTAAAGTCAAGCTCCTCAAATCGCCCAAGTTCGATCTGGGTGCTCTACTCGCCCTCCATGGAGAGTCGAGTACTGATGACAAGGGACAAAAGGTAATAACCCAATCCAATCCAACCCACCATATCAAAATTAGCATACCTTACAATCCTCCACCACTTCCACATCAGCATTTTACTCATACCGTTTTTCCGTGTATCATAGGTCGAGAGAGAGTTCAAAGAGACCGTCCTCGAGAGCGTCTAAGCAGTTACACAATGAAATAGGCGTTGGGGCGTGTGGGGAAGGGCGGAAGGGGCAAAAAGGGGAGGTGATAAAGGGGGACCTGCAAGTCGGGACATTAAAAAAAATTAAGATCATGTAAACCCCCTTAAAGGAGCTTTTCTACCTTACTAGCCTTCTTTCTCTTCATGTGCTACTGCCGCTGTCGCTGCTGCCGAGGTCCTCTAGTCTAATTCTCTCTTTTATTCTCTTGTTTTCTTGTTTTTTAACGCGGAATATGTTAACTTTGTGATTTATGTGTTCTTCCACTTCGACTTTACCCTTTCTTTTCCCATTCCGTGATTGATTGGTTGAGATATTCAAAAGCGCCAAAACGGTGTCAATTCAAAGGTTCTGTGTATTTCGCATATTCAATCCCATGCCCCATCGGTCGACCGATCAGCGAGCGAACGGAAGGGAATGCTGACATGAGAGGAAAATATTTTCCACAAAAGCCACACCCAGGTATCACCCATCGTTGGCTAGAATGGTTTCCCATTGTTTTAGTTTGTTGCACTTTTCCAGCTTCTTTTCAGCCGCAATCAATGGGGCATGTGGCACGGTTTACTGATAATATCTTCTTGCCCCCTTTCTATCCTACCCTCTCAATCTCCCTTGCCATAACTCTTTCTCGTCGCCGAATGTCACCTGCATGACGATTTCAATCAACTCCACCCAGAGATATATATATAAAAGAAACATGTCAACGTCCACCGCTGTGGCGTTTAGGCTTGTTAGATGCAGTCCCGGCATTTTGGTTCCATTTCATGAATGTGTTGTTACTGTTAAAATTAAAATGTGCTGTGGACGTCTATACTCTCTTCGCGCCCAACATCATCTACCTACCCTAACCACGCCCTCTTTTTCAGGAATGTGATGAAATTGCAGTCGCAGAACTGAACTAAATGTCTATATATCAAAAAGCATTTGCTCTAAGGAAGTATCCATACAAAATAACCTCAGCTGTCTTCAAAAACCGAAAGAGAAAATAATTTCCATATACCAAACCCCCCGCTTCCAACCAGCGTCAAAGGACATATTTTATTATATTATTAATAGCCAGCCATGTCTCCAACGAAACACCCAAACCAAACCCAGAATCTCCACAAAACATATCCACCACCGTCGCGCGGTCTAATTATCCTTCAGGAACTCCGTAACAGCTAAACACAACATCCATCTGTTAGCAAAGCTCTCCCCCTTTCAACCCCCCACCCCCAAACCCGAAAATAAATAAATAAATAAAACTCTCACCATCTTTAAACCCCACCCCATTCTCTGAAATAACCCAATGCCCCGCCTCAACATCCACAATCTGATACCTAGGAAAAAATCTATTAATAGCCGGTAGCATGCTATCCTTGACATACCCACTTCTCGTGCCGCGGATGAAGAGTGCGGGTCCCTCGAACTTCAGGTCCGCGGGCGCTGTGGCGGGGTTGTAGGGGAAGGAGGCGAGTTCATCGAGCGAGGAGGCGAGGGTTGAGAGGGGGAGGCGGAATTTTAGGATATGGGATGTTGGATTGCGGATTAGATTTGTTAGGAGGAATTGACGGATTGGGAGGGACTGGAGGGTAGCAAATAATATGGTTAGAGATACGGTGTGTGCGTTGAGAAGGGGGAGTGTGGGAATTTGTGCGTTGATACGTTGTAGATGTTGGCATACGCACCTCTTCATATCGCTCCAATATCTTATCCGCCTCACTCTGCTTCGTGACGCCCGCCCTCTCAATCTCCTGCATGGCCTTTACATAGTTCACGAACTGGCTGCTCAACTTCGCCGAGACGGGAGCGTTGTCGACAGATATCAGTGATGAGATGAGCTGCGGGGAGCGGAGGGCGAGAGTCATTGCTGTCTTTGCACCCCTGGTTTCAGATATATCAGATACACATCAATTGGATATTTGACTTTGGGGGTTGGGGGTGTTTGGTGGAGGGGTACGGGGGTAGGGAGGAGGAAGTACATGGAATGCCCAATCAAAGCCGGCTTGTGCAGCTTGAAGCGCTGGATAAATGCCTCGACGTCATCTGACATTGACATGTAGTCGTGCGGGGACAGGTGCGGGGAGTCTCCGTGGTTTCGTAGATCCTGTATGTTGAAACCGTTAACCAAAATCATAGTCAATGCATGAATATTACTCCACACCACGATGCCTGAATGCCTCAAACCCCCGCCCAGCGGAAACAGAAAGAAAGACACCTACAACCACCCAAATCCTCCTCCTCAACTTCGCCGCCAACGCCCTACAACATCACCGGCATCACGTATCAGCTTCGCATCCTCCCACTTTCCACTTCTCACTTCTCACATCTTCCTTCGCAGTCTCCGCCACATGGGTCACCACGTATGTTTGCATGTAAGGTTATTTGCTTACTTACTGATACTCCTATTATTCTGTTTGGAGCCAAAGAGTCCATGCATGAACACGATCGGGTTGCGGTCTTCATCGATTGCGGTAGAGTTATCGAGAGAAGGCCAGATTTGGTAGGCGAGCTCTGGTTTACTTGATGGAGTTGGGGATGAGCTGAATGGACGATATAGATAGGGGATGGTGCGGCGGAGGGAGACGCCACAGGGGATGGGCATGCGGAGTCCCATTGTGGTATGGTATGTGGGTTTGTCACGCTGTCGTGGTTTTGGTGGTGGGTGGTGGTGATGGTGTGGAGGAGGGATACTTATTCCTCTGTAGGCGATGTTATGTTGATGGGATGGAAGAGGAGTTCGATGTCTTTTCTCTGTGAGAACGTCGAACGGGGATTGGATTGATACCACGTGACCGGTATCTATATGGATAGAGTATGTCGGTGGATGAATAGGGGGTAGATGTTATCTCTTCGGGGGCAATCATAAAGGAATTCGTTAGATAGTATAGCTTCATAGCATGTCCTGGTCTACCCAGGGCATCATCATGCCAAATTCGCAATTAATCATACAGCCGCCTTCCCCTGCTTCTCACCCCCTCCCTCCCTCCTCACCACTCCCCTTCCTATCACCAGCATGAAACGCCCTCTTCCTCTCCGCCGCCTCCCTCGCAACTGGATTCTCCAAAGCCTTCCTTGCCGCTTCATTCCCCGCAATAACCTTACTCATCCCCGTCCCAGTCCCAAGACAAACATCCCGAAACCCCCACCCGTCCAAATAAACCCCCACAAAAAATGTCTGCAGTCCCCCCTTCCTCTGCACCCCCTCTCTCTCATCCACATACCTCACCCGCACCCCCTTATCCATAACCATCTTCGCCAACTCCTCCTTATACCGCAGCACAGGCCTCTCCCTCTCAACCCCCTCCAGCCTCGGAATCCACAACTGCGTCAACCACTCCTCAACCATCTCCACCCCGCGCTTCGGATGCGATAATATCACCGCAGCAACGTACGCCTCGAACAAATCCCCGCGCACCTTCGTCCACGTCTTCGCCTGCCGCCGTATCTCCGCCGCAACCTGCAGCCTCCTATCGAGCCCATACCGCGTCGCGTATTCCGCCAATGTCTCATTTTTGACCAGCATCTCTCGAATCTGTGACAGCCGGCCGGCCCGAAGACGCGGGAAGGTATCCCATACCAGCCGCGTGGCGAAGATCTCAATGTAGGCGTCTCCCAGAAGCTCGAGGCGTTCGTAGTTTTTCTCTGTTGAGGCGGTGGTAGTTGTGGTATTTGTGGGGTCGTTGACTCCTTCGTGAGTGAAGATAGCGGTTTGGAGGGATTTGTCGGGAACGGGGGGGAGGGGGGGGAGTATGTTTTGGGCGTGGAGGTGGAGGGAGGGGGTGTAGAGGCGGTCTAGGGGGGATTGGGAGTAGTAGGACGGAGGATCTTGGGGGTTGTGGGTTTGGGGAGAGGAGGAGGAGAGGGAGAGGGAGAGGGAGAGGGAGAGGGAATTGTTGAGCGCTGTTAGAGATTGCAGGAGGTCCGGGCCGGGTGCTGAGCCATTTATGGGTGCTTCTGGAATTTGTTCGGGGTGGTTTAGGAGTTTGCGGGTCAGCTTTTGGAGTTTTTGGAGGCGGGATTGGGTTTTTGTTCTTTGTTTTGCGGTGTTTGAGGAGGATGGGGATGTTGGAGAACTGTCCGGTTCCGCATCAGGGAAATTCTTCTTCTAGATCGATATCAGTATTACTCCGTAGTTTAATAGTGAAGATACATACTAACTTGTAAATGTGTTGGGTACTCACCTTGTGTCTTTTCACGCCATTCCCCGCGGATGTCTCTTCGGAAGTACCAGGCTCCAGTTTCCGTTTAGTCTCCATTCCTCCCCTATTAGGTGTTCCTCGTAGTGTCTCCTTTACAAATGATCAAGGGTTGAAGCAGTGGTCAGTGGTCAGAGGTCAATGGTCGGTTGCTAATAAGCTGTTTAGTTGCTGGTTAACTCCTTGTTGTCAATCGATGTAATATATATGCTGTAGCCCAGACAGGACTAGCGCCCACCACCTCCCAAACATTTCCACTCCCTCACTGTCCCTCACTCTCCCTCACTTAACTGCGCACCTCTAAATCTAATCTCAACCGTCAAAAGAAAGTGAAAAATAAATAGATAAATAAATAAATAAACCACCACCAGCAATTTACTGCCCACTGGCCCACCGGCCCACCGGCACCCAAACACAACCCACAGCCCGCCATGGCCCTCTCCGTTCCCCGCTCCCGCCTCTTAGACCTCCTCAAGGTAAGTTCCGCCCTACTACCCGGTTCCCCCCTTCCAATTGCTCTCCCTATCTACGTCCATCCCACTCACAGCAACAGGCCCAATGCCGCATCTTCTCCCACACCTACAACCCCGAACGTCAACGACTGGGCAACAAAGTCCTCCGCCAGCGCCTGCGCGGGCCCGCCTTGGCATCCTACTACCCGCAGCGAATAGGCACGCTGAAGGAGCTCGGCAAGGCGTATGAGCATCTGGGACTGCGGATGGTGGATTATGAGGAAGGGGAGAGGTTGGAGGTCATTGAGAGGTATGTTGTGCAGCAGGATTAGATATTTCTGGGTGGTTGAGGGATTGGTGATGGAAGATTGCTGACATGGGGAACATTGATATAGGTTGAAGAGTCGTGGGAAGGGGAATCCGAAGAAGAGGAGGACTGCTGCTGGTAAGATCTCTTCTTTAGTTGCTTGTGCTTTTGCATTGACTGACGTTGGTTTCTGCGTTGACAGAGTCGAGATCGGCGAAGAAGAGAGGTTAGTTGGAGTCGGTACACTTGCCCGTGCTCGACGCCACGGGGAGATAATTGGGCATGTTATTAAGATATATGTACATGTATATGGACATCGCAATGGGTCTCTTTCCTTTTTATTTCATGGGACAATTCTACCACGGGGTTTGTTTTCACATTTGGATGGGTGATTAGAAGAGCATCTGGGTCGTTTTTCTTTTTCTCTTCTTTCTTTCTTTTTCTTTCTTTTTCGTTTAAGCAATGGTATTTCTAGAGGGTTATTTTCTTATTGACAGTCCTACATACGTACATATATATCCTCTGAATCATCAGCTACAATACTGCTGACTCCCTGCACTGCAAACTGCCTGATCTCTGCAGTACAATTCTTTTTGCACGAATATCTATATCACGTGATCATGTCGATATTGCAGCTTTCTTGCCCTCGCAAACACTTGGTTAAGACGCACCTCAGGACAACATACAACTTAGCCCCCCCATCTATGCTCCATCTGTGCTCCATATACATCCCTCGAACTCCTGGTACAAATACAAACCGCTGCTAGCTTATCCATGCGTCCTGCTTACCCATCTATCAAGGTTGCTTGACTGAGCTGGAGAGACCAAAGGGGACCGACCTAGCACACGATCCGCTCCTCACCAGCCTCTGCTCCGATCAAGTCAATTATCTAAACGGTAACACACTCCGACATCATCATGCCTGCCATCACTGCGAAGCCAACTAAAAATCAGCTGAAGAGAGCGAAGCGGAAAGCGAAGAAGAATGAGGTATGTTTGTGTTTTACTGTGCTGTTCAATCGCTATATACTACTTTTAAGTGGAGAAGTGCGGCGCTGACTTAACGTTCTTACAGCTAAAATCTAGTGAAAATTCTCCTGCGCCGAAAGGCGATACGGTGGAGGAGGTTGTTGAGACGAAGGATTATAAGCAAAATCGCCCTCTGTCATCGAAACATTCTCCATCTGAGGCTGCTCCGCCGGAGCGCAACGACAGCGGCAACGCCAATGTAGACGGAAACACGAACACAAACGCAGACACAAACCCAACCGACCCTGAAAACCTCTACGACTCCCTCGACCCTCTCTACGAGATGTACAGAGACGTTCTCACCAAATTCGAAAAACTCGAAAGGAACGAAGACTCCCTTTCCAAAGAACCCGACAAGCCCGAAGTATATTTCGACGACGACAATGACATCCCAGACGAAGAAGAAGAAGCCACCGGCCCCAAACTCTCCAAAAAGAAACGCAAGGAAATGAACAAGCTCTCCGTTGCCGAACTGAAAGCCCTAGTCCGAAAACCAGAAACGGTCGAGTGGACAGATACCTCCGCCTCCGATCCACGACTACTAGTGCACATCAAAGCGTACCGCAATGTCGTCCCAGTGCCAACCCACTGGTCCCTGAAGCGCGAATACCTCTCCTCAAAACGCGGTGTCGAAAAGCCCCCCTTCGCCCTGCCCAAATTCATCCAGGAAACCGGCATCGCCGAAATGCGCGACGCAGCCCTCGAGAAACAGGAACAAGCAACCCTAAAGCAAAAGCAGCGCGAACGCGTCCAGCCCAAAATGGGCAAGTTGGACATCGACTACCAAAAGCTCTACGAAGCCTTCTTTCGCTTCCAGACTAAGCCCGAATTAACCCGCTACGGTGAGGTGTACTACGAAGGCAAGGAATACGAAACGAACCTTCGCCACCTGCGGCCTGGTGAGCTGAGCGATGAGCTCAAAGATGCATTGAATATACCACCCGGCGCCCCCCCGCCATGGCTCATTAACCAACAACGCTTCGGCCCGCCTCCGTCGTATCCTGCGCTGAAGATACCCGGTCTCAATGCCCCGCCCCCCCCTGGGGCTATGTGGGGTTACCACCCCGGCGGATATGGAAAGCCACCTGTCGACGAGCATAACCGGCCGTTATACGGTGGTGATATTTTCGGTGTCTTACAGACGCAGTCTAATGTGCAGCTAGGAGAGCCTGTGGAGAAGGAGTTGTGGGGAGAGTTGCAGGCGCCGGAGGAAGAGGAGGAGGAGGAAGAGAGTGAGGAGGAAGAGGGTGGGAGTGGGGATGAGGGAGATGAGGAGGAAGGGCGTATGAGGATGGGACTGCAGACGCCTAGTGGCTTGGAGACGCCGAGCGGAATGGTATCGACGATTCCGTCGGAGTTTGGAGGGGCGGAAAGTGTTGTTGGTGCCAGCGGGGAGTTTGATGTGCGGAAGCATACGCGCGGGACGGAGACTGAAGAGTCGCCTGCTGCATACCATAGGTCGGCCTACACAGTTGTTCCTGAGCGGACAACGGCTGTTAAGGGGTTCTTTGGCGGGGATCGGGCGTATGATCTTAAAGCGGCGGCTGCATCTGCATCTACATCTGGCGCAGCTGCGCACGGTAATCTCCCCGTGCTTGGTGTGGATGATCAGAGCCGCAAGCGGAAGAAGCCCGGTGATGTGGACGTTTCTGTGGATTTGGATGCGATGCAGGGGAGCGATGGGACTGGGATTGATAAGGAGAGGTTGAAGGGGTTGTATGAGAAGGGGAGGAGGGAGGAGGGTGTTGCGGGTGTGGGGAGTGCGAATTGGGGGTTTCAGGAAGATTTGAGTGATATGATTGCTAGTGAGAGTCGGAAGAGGTTGAAGAAGGAGGAGGAGAAGAGAGGGAAGAGGTAGTAGGAGAGGTAGAGGTAGAGGTAAAGGTGGGGGGGGTGGAATGTGATGATGGCTGGGAGTTTGGAGTTTGATGGGTTTTTGGCGTTGGGGGAGGGATAAGTGGGAAAATACTATGTATCAATGTCCAATGTCCAATTTCCTTGTTTCTGTGGGTTTGAGATAAATGCTTTCCAATTGAGTTCTGAAGGTGTTTCTGTCCATTTTGCTCTGTGCTGATGTAGCAGGCAGCATAGAATGAGTTATGGATTGAGGAGGTCGACAACCACTATTCCGCCTCAAAATCGGATAACCGTAAGCATATTGGATGTACATATTTCTTATCTGAAACCGAATTTTTCCTCTCATTTCATTTCATTTCATTTCATATCTTTCCTCTTCTTTGTATGTAGAAATATTACCCCTATTCCATGCAAGCTCCAATGTCACGTGGCACAGACCTCTTTTCTATTTGAACCCGAAAACCTCAACGAACTACAACCAGAGAAAAAAAAAACAGAACACAGAACACAGAGAACACAGAGCAGGATCAAAATCCGGGACTGTGGGATAATATGCTCCATCAGTCAGCTTCTAGATTATGAGTTGATTTAACAACACTCTGACTCTTACCCACTCTTCACCTCGCCGCCGCCGCATTCTCTCTCCTGCTTTATCTCACCTCCCTCTATCCTCTAGCTACCAAGTCCACCCTCAGCCTTACACATCCACGCAATTAACAAACACCATGGATCGTGACAGAAGGTTTGAAATCCTCCATCCCTAACCACCCATTAAACAATGTCCCAAATTTCTCGCCTTTACAAAACACCACTTCTCTGTCTCTGATTACAAACAAACACCAAACCAACCATTCTCCCTGTCCCCAGATACGACGAAAGCCGCCGATTCGGCGACTCCTACCGTCCCTTCCCGCGCGACGACAACCTCTACCCCCGCTCCCCAACCCCAAGAGCTCGCTCTCCGCCACCCCGACCAGCAGCAGACACCTGGGCACCCTCCGACCGCACCAGTGGGAGACCACGCAGCCGCTCCCCGCCAAGCTTCCGACGCCGCTCACGAAGCCCCCCGCCCTTTCGAGGACGAGATAGAGATAGAGATCGAGACAGAGACAGAGACAGAGATGCAGCGTCCAGTTATAACCCCAGAGCAAGAAGGTTGTCTCCAGTTCGCGATAATATGCGCCGCATCTCCCCGCAGAGATTACAGAGGCGCTCGCGCTCACCACCTCCGTCGCAGAGATATACACGGGAAAGAGAAAGAGAAAGAGAAAGAGAAAGAGAAAGAGAAAGGGAGCGGAGTCCGCCCGTTTTAAAACGGATGAGAGACCCCTCGCCGCTGAACAGTTACCACCCCCGCTCTCCGAAGCGGGAGCGCCTTTCCTCCCCCTTGCCTGCGACGAGAAGCAGGTATGAACGTCCTCGCTCCCCAGAATACCCCCGCTCCGCCCCACGCGCTCGTTCGCGCAGCATAGATCGAGATCGAAATCGAGACAGAGACATAGACAGAGACAGATGGGAGCAACGCCACGAGCCTCTCTCCACTGCTGGTGAGCGGTCATGGCGCCGCAGGTCTCCGTCACCCCGTACGCCGACGGGACATAACAACTTGGGCCCCGTGTCGGTGACTACGTCGAGACGGTCGTCGCCGCCGTTACATGTGGGGGTGGGGAATATGTCGTCGCGTGCGGGTACTGTGACTATGGCGCCGTCTCCGGCTAATTTACCAGCTAGGGTACAGATGCAGTCACAAAATGATGCTAGTTCTGCTGCACCCGCTTCTACAGGTGCTATGGCACCCTCTCCTTCCCAGGCAATTAGATCTCCGCCATCACGGGCTACTGAACCACCGCGCGCGCCATCGTCTAGCAGACCAGCTTCACCGCCGAGGGGGCCTAGTAGAGGTGGCCCATCACCTCGATTACCTGATAAACTACCCAGACCGAGTCCTGGAAATGGAAACGGAAACGGCAACAGCAATGGGAACAGGAATGGGAACGAAAGGGGTGAAGCCGCATGGCAAAATTCAAATTTGCAACAACAGCAACAACAGCAGTGGCCATCTCCGCCATCACCCGCGCCGCAGAATGGTACACAGCAGCCACTTCGAATCCCCAGCGCACCTCAACCCCTCACCAAGCCACAATCCACTACGCCACCGTTGGCACCTTCAACAGCCCCAGCCCCTGCACCTACACCTACACCTACACCTGCGTCTGCTCCTGCGCCAACACCACCAACAGGCCCTCAAGGCCGCGTGACGAATCTCGCGCTTCTTTCCGCGCCCACGCGACCAAGGGGTAGTGTCGGGGGTGGTCCGTCGCCGGCTAGTTCAGCCAGGGACAGAGACAGGGACCGGGACAGGGAAAAGGACAGGGACGGGCCCATATCCAGGTCTGGCTCCGGATCTGGATCCGGGACATCGAGACACACATCCCCGCCCATGGCAGCCCACTACAAAGCACCACCCACGGGCCCACGGGCAAGTTCGTCAAGCTATGACTCCCACCGGCCCCCGTTTCGGCATAGCAGTAGCTCTCACTCGCACTCTCATACCTTCACACCACACCCGCATACCTACCCGCACTCCCACTCCCACTCCCAATCCCACACCCACCCTCGTACCCCACACCAACCCCGCACAACAAACCACCTCTCCTCCCTCCCCCCGCTGATCCCGGGCGGCAAACTGCTTCCCCTGCCGCCGGCGCTGGATCCGAGTCGGGAAAAGAGGCTGGTGCAGTTGGAGATGGATCGGGAGAGGTTGCTGGAGCAGATTGAGGAGAAGCAGAGGGTTAAGAGGGCTGGGTTGAGAGAGTGGGAGAGGCTTAGGAGGGAAAGTGAGAATGGGGCGTTGAGGAGTGAGCTTGCTGAGGGGCATTTGGGGAGGATGGTTGGGGGGGAGGGGGGAGGGGGAAGGGCGTTTTAGTGGGGGTTGTGTGTGTTTCTGTGTTAGGGTGTGTGGGGTATTGGCAGGTGTATTGTGGGGACTGGTGGTTGTGCTGGTTATGTGGATGTTTGGAGGGTGGAATTGGTTATTATGTGCTTTCTTTTATTTTTTTTGTACTTTTATTTTATTTTATTTATTATTTCTTTCCCCTTATCCTGGAGCGTCTTTGAGCAAGCGATAGTTTTAAGGGCTATAGATTGTTCGAATGAACTAGGTTAATGATAGTAACACATCACACGCTGGCGACAACCAGACTACGGGACTTACTTGGGTAACATATGCGTATCTCTCTCATGTCCGGATGCCCACATGGACTCATAGCTATGTATACCCAGTCCTTCTACCATCTCCTCCTCATGTTCGAGTCAGGGGGTTGCTCAGTCACTACCGTCACGTGACTTGAACTGGTCCTCGAGCTCTCTCTCTCTTTCTCTGGCTGTTTCAGACTTCGTGTCAACAAGCAGCCAACAACCAGACAGCAACCAGAAACCAGACAACATACAGACAGCACCGCATACACCTTGGCTAATCTTCCTCGCACATCCAAGCCCCGTTTCATGGCTCTCTTCTTCCCTCCCGTATCACCACCAGAGACTGACAGGCAAGCCGCAGTCTCAATTGACACGCCGGAATCGAATTGAAATACATACCTAATCAATATAGAACAACCGCCAACTAGCGGTTAGACCCGATTTCCACAGCCCAAGATGAATATCTTCAGGTTGGCAGGTACGTTTTGCTTGTCCCGTAGCTTGATCGGAAGTGAGGGCTGGGGCAGTTTTGGCTTCGACTCTGGACCCGCTATCATCGGAGTCAAGATGTATAGGAGATGGGATGCAATTTGTGCAATGGGAAATGACGAGAGCAATGGCTAACTGACTTCCTCTTTACTATGTATAGCGGATTTCTCCCATCTGATGTCCATATTGATTCTCCTCCAGAAGATGAAGTCGTCAAGTGTACGCAGACCTCCCTTTTTTCATACAGGCAACAATCAAATTCTTTTCCATTATCTGCTATACCACCAACCACTACATATGCCACCGGCTAACAATTCCCTCTCTCCATCCAGAGCTGCTCAGGCCTTTCCTTTAAATCGCAAGCGCTATATTTCTTCGTCTACGTTACGCGGTACCTAGGTAAATGCTCCTCTATCCCCTCTCATCCAGCTCCAACTTTCCGCGTCAAGAAAACTCACTCCTTAAAACATCATAACAGACCTCTTCTGGACCTTCACCGACTCCGCCTATAACACCATCTTCAAACTCCTCTTCCTCTCCTCCTCCGCATACACAATATACCTCATGGTAAACGACTATAAACCCACCCACGACCCAAACATCGATACCTTCAAGGTGCAATACCTGCTCGGCGCATCGGCCGTTCTGGGAATACTCTTCCCACCCAGATATGAGTTCTCAGAGGTATATAAAGCCCCTCCCTATCCTCCACCTCCCTGCATACTTTGATTGTAACACCGCTGACATATTTTTCGCCCCCCTTTTAAAACGTGCTCCAGATCCTCTGGGCCTTCTCCATCTGGCTTGAATCCGTCGCCATCCTCCCGCAACTCTTTATGCTCCAGCGCACCGGCGAGGCGGACACGATAACGACTCACTACCTCTTCGCGCTGGGGATTTATCGCACGCTATACATACCGAACTGGATCTATCGGTATTTCGCAAATGGGTTCTTCGATCCTATCTCTGTGATTGCAGGTATTATTCAGACGATATTGTATTCGGATTTCTTTTGGATATATTATACCAAGTTAGCTTCTTCCCCCCCCCCTCTTTTTTTTTTTATTATTTTTTTTATTTGCGAGCTCCCCTTTTTTGGGGGGTATTTGAGCTCTGGCCCGTCTAGGTACCCAGTATTGAATGAGTTTGAACTAACCAATCATCCATTCTCGAATGTGACAGGGTTCTAAAGGGCAAGAAGTTCACGCTGCCTGTATGAATATGTGTGTGACGCACAACATCGTGGGAAGGATTTTTTTGCTCGCTCACTATGCAATTGATATAATTATCCGATATCCGATAATCGATATATATGCGTGGTACGTCATCTGTTGTATTGGGTATTAGCGGGAATTGAACTTATTATCATTCTGATTTTTTTTTTTTTGAGAAAAGTTGGGGGGTTGGGGAAATGGGAATGGTGATGAAGAAAGGGAGGACTCTTTCTTATCGTGGGAGAGCTTTTGAAGTTGGTGAAGTGAAATGTGGAGTAAAATGCGTGTGTATAGAGGGAGTGGGTGTTCTCATTTGTATGCTGTACTATCAAAATGGCTGATCTGGGCAGCCAATGTGGTGTCAAATTCTGGTTTATTTCGGATTCAGCTGTCTTTTTTCTTTTCTCTTCTTCTTTTCCCCTCCCCTTTTTTCTTGGGTGGTTTGGTTTGATGTTTCCTTGGTGGTGATAATTTATACGCCCTTCTTTTCCTCATTACTATGCCTATTTTTGTCCTTTTTCCTTCTCCTTAGCTCTTTTATCTTCATCTTCATCGTTTCATTTAGACTATGGAAGGTTCTCCCTTTTAAGTATACATTTTTATCTATATAAAATTTTAATGCCATGTCATGTCATGTCATGTCATTTGATGAGACGGGGTTTGTTTAGGTGGTGATGATCATGATGCTGACTTCATTTATATGAGAGGCAGGTTTTAGAAAGGGTTTATAAAAGCGGCTGGATAAAGATATAATGGGTTAGATATACGAATTATGTGTGTACAGACAGCTGCACTGCTTTGGCATGTTGCAATGTACGGAGGTGAAGAGGTTGATATTCTTCAGTCGTAACCACCAAGTCACTGGCTGACTAGTAAGAACCAACTCATTTGATCGTTACCAGATGCCATTTGCAATTTATATAAACTTGAGATAGAGAAAGGCAATAAATAGACAGAAAGATTATAAGAATAATTGCTTCATACATGAAAATGAAAATGAAAGGACAGATGAATCTAGAATCACACGAGTAAATAGAAGTTCTCAAGAAAATAAGAGGGAATTATTGATTTAAGAACAACTTCATCTCAGACTTGAAGAGTCCGTCGCCGTCCATGCCAGATATAAACTTCATATAAAGGAAAAGCAAAGATAAAAATGGAAAGGGAAAACTAAAAGAAAGAAAAAAACGCATGCCTTCGTATAAATAAATACGAAAAAGCCTTTAATCTCCCCTCTTTTTTTAGCTTTTTGAATTTTTCATTTACCCTGATTAACTAACTACCATAGTTAACAAATTCGATCATATCGTCAAATAAAAAAAGTCAAAAGCAAAACACAAAGAACATAGGGAAAAAATGAAATGAAAAGAAATGAGCATAATATAAAGAGTCCAACTGCCATATTCATATCCCATTGCCCCCATTATTTGATACTCATGCCCATTACCATTACCATCGCCATCCCATGCCAATCAGATGCCCAATGCCCAATGTCCAGTTGTCAATGTTCAATATTGTGATTCCCAATCCTAATATCAATTCACATATTCCCCAATGCCGACGTCGACGTTTGTATAAAAAGCTCAAACACTCTGCTTTTGCCACAAAGTCGATGAATATCCCAACCTTAAGCCCTCCTCCTTTTCACAGCTCACCCCTCCGAAACTACACCTTCCCCTCAACCGCCTCAATAATGCGACTCAGGAATCCCATGCCCCTCATCATACGAGGCATGATAATCCAAATGACTCGACGATGCCAAATGCATGCCTCCCCCGGATATCTCATCTATGGCACTGGACATCGATCTCGGCAACGTCGCTAGTCCCGTGGGCGCTAGAGGGTTGACGTGATGTTGGTACTGGCTGTGATGGAGATGGTGACCGTGGTCTTCGGGACTATGGCTGTGGCTGTGGCTGTGGCCGTGGCTCTGACCCCAACCCGAGCCCTGGACGTGGTGATGGGATGAGTACTTATTCCGCGATCGTTCCGCGGTGCTGGCGCTGGCACGACTGATTACGGAGTCCCGTCGGGAGCCGGGCGGGGAGCGAAGCTGAGGGTTTGGAAGGGTTTTTAGTTTTGGGGAGTTTTTGCGGGAGTTTGGAGGGGTGAGGCGGCAGCCGCCGCGGCGGACTTGGCAGGTTGGGCAAATTTTGACAAAGCGGGAGATTAGTTCTTTAGGGACCCTGTTGGGTTGGTTAGTTGGGACTTTTCCTAAGTTTGTTGCATATTTTCTTCTTTTTTTCTTTTTTCTCACGAGTTGGGTTACACATACCAGGAATATAACCTTCGAACCTGTGCTGAGGTTTTGTCTCGGCCGCCATGCTGGCATTGCTGATGTGCCTTTGTCAGAATTTTGAACAACTTCTCCCGAATTGCGACTGGTTTCCCTTCATGGCAGATCAACCGTTTTAACTAATAATCGATTAGAAAGATACCCCAACCCATACAATTGAGTCAAAGCGGCAAAGGGGGGGGGGGGGGGGGGGGGGCATACCTCATATGCTCTGTTATCGTTTTGCTCAAGCTTGAACATCTTCTTGACCCAGAAGCTACAACACACAATCAGTCAACGTTTCCAAGAACGTGCAAGTCTGACTATCTGATTATCGTCTTCCTCTTCATGGACAGAGATAATAAGAGTAGCAAGAACGGAAATTCTCTTACCGAAACTGGGCCGACTCTATTGCCGTATTTTTTGGGTCAATGAGCACCGTTCTGATGTTTCGTGCCCTACTTGAATGTATCAAGGCTTTATCCTGCTTTTTGACCGATAGGTCTTGGACGTAACTTCGAACAAAGAAACCCCATCAGCAATTTGACCTTTTGAAAATACAAAATAAGGATTGGAAAATCACCTGGCCACGAGCTGGTCGAACTCTCCAACGTCTGGAAACCCTTCCAGCGGCGGTAGCACTGGCTCAGAAACCATCAAGTTCTCGTTACATGACTCTTGCCTCTCAATCTCGACATCTCGCAGAGGGTCAGGAATGGTGAGGTATCTCTGGGATGGAGGATACCTTGACTGGGCAATATAATGAATCGGGTACTGGTACCCATGACTCGGCGGAGAATGCTGTTGCGTCTGAGCATACACTGATTGTGATGTTGCATAATGAGGGGGTAACTGGGAGCCCTCAGAAGAAACGGAAGAATGCTGGCTATACGGGGAGAGAAGATGAGTCTGGTAGGAATGCAGAGATGGCTGCGAGAGTCCATATTGACTGCTAGAACTGTAGGTATAGTCCTGCTCTTCACTAGTGGAATACTGATGGCTCATCGTGAATGAAACCGGCTGAATATATGGGTGATTGGTTGACTGTTTTTTTGTTGCTTTTTCCTTCCTGTAAACACACTATTGTCAGGAGGATTCTAAAATGTCCCAGTCACAATATTGGAGCCGCAGCAGGGCTGATCTTGACAGATAGTGATGACAGAAATCCTGGCACTCCTTGAGGCTGACGAACGAGGGCAAAGGAGAAAGGCGTGGGATCAACAGTTTGGAAGTTCAGAACAGGTTTCTTCGCTTTTTAAAAGGTTGGAGGATCCCTCAGCCTTACCGGGATATATTACAACCACCAATTCCAGTGGTTCTTTTGGAAAGATTGCAGATGGAGGAACAATATGTGCAGGCTCAGGACCAATGGATTAAAAACGAACAAGAAAGAAATAAAAGAGGAACTTGGCTCTCTTCTTATAGAAATTCAAGTCACAAGCGACTGAACTAATATCAGGATGTCAGGGGAAAAGGGAGGAAAGGAGGATTAATAACAAGTGAGAGCTTTCGCGGCTGTAATGAAGTCCGAGGTGCCTCAGGGGCAGAGAGCCAGCAAGACAAGACAGAACGAGGGAGTATTTATTTAAAGACAACAGAAGAACTTATTGGATACATCTAGAGCTCAACAACATGGAGGACAGTACAGGGAAGAGAAAATGAAACAAAAGGGGAAAGAAATGGAGCAATAATGGCGGACCAATGCCTGCGACGTACCACGAAACCACGAACTGATTTGCACCGTAGGGGGGCACAAGCAGATATCCAGTGAGGGGCAGCTATTTATTGGTACGTACAGTACGTTGACAGAAGCAGCAGACTGGCTAACTGGCTAAACCGTAGTTTTGGGGTGTCTCTCTGTGGCTGGTGGGAGGGTTGGTGTTCGTCAGGCCAGCCGTTGGAAGCATTGGCTTGGTCCCATCCGTGTTCTCCAAAGATTTTTATATATGTATTTGTGTATTGTGTTTGTTTTCCTCGAGGATTTTAAAATAAAAATAAAAACCAGCTGTTTCCACGGCGCTGGATCAGGCACGGGGTCCCAGAAAACAGGAAGCTCTTATGTGTCTTCTCGCTGAGTCCCAAAGCAGGGCGATATTGTCGTCTTCGGTCCCTGGGATTCTGCAGGACACATACTTCCGGCAGAGAAGCCCACACAAAATAAGCCGGGCAATGGGTGGGGCGGCGGGCTGAGGTGGGCTCGCAGTAACAAGTGTGAATCGATCATAGACATATGGCTTTATGCTTGGATGATGGGCTTGCGGGAGCCAGCCACGTTGAGATCTGCTCACCCAGGAATTTTTTCAGGCTGGCGCTCCGGCATTGCTCGACCCAATGGAGAGCAGAAGGCGGTTGGCGCTGTCAGTTGTCACCAAGTGTCTCAAATAATAATGCGCCAGGGTTTAGCGTTGCGGGCGGACGCTGACGGTCAGTCGCCGTTGTTGGCGGGCAGACGTGTGCCTCGATCTCTGAAACCAAGCAACCAGGAACGCCTTGGTTGGCCTGAGCCGTTTGTGCGTGGATGATGGGCCTGCTGTCGCTGCACACGATCTTCCTGGTGGGGGAGTTGGTGACAGTGGTGATTTAGCTAGAGCCGTCGAGGGGGGAGAGGGAGAAAAAGGGGGTTGATGTGATGTCGTTCTGCTCTGTCCACGCATTGATTGATCTGTCCGTGTAGAACTTGACTAACAACCCTAACCAGTTACATACTACAACATCATGATACATCTTCCTGTTCCATGAGAGCTGCACAATGAGCTACAGCCTAAAGATAGTTGTGTAATATCTGTTTTCATGTCATGTCCAAGGCTTTCTATTTGTCAAGAGGCCAATCCGTCTCTCTTGGAGTGTTGCCCCTTATTTGACTGGAGACATTACAACTACAGGTATATTCAGCAGAAGAAGCCTATAATCCATAGCCCGTAGCCCTTAGTCCATGGTCCTTGCACTTGCTGGCAGACAACTCGATCCAGCATGCAGACTTGACTTTGTGGGCATGCATATCGGATGCATCTATCCATCTGTCCAGAGACGTGGGACGCGGGAGGCTACAGATGAAGCAAGCTCTGTCTATCTATTTCTGTCCTTCGAGCTCTCGCTAACTGTGATCGGTGAAGCAGTCTGCGTAGGCGCCTTCTGCAGCCCTTCGACGAATTGACAGAAGAGCAGCCGATGAGGTGACATGATGCACTCCTGCTGGCAGCAACCCTCCGGCAAATCCCACTGATCGATCCTTGCTCCCCTTCCGACTTCATGCCGAGAGAGACCATGCCATGGCCTATTGACCCTCCCCATGCTTCCCCGACAAGGTTTGTGGAGGACTAGGATTGCCATCAGTCGTCACTCTTGTGTCCGTCAAAGCCTCAGCGGACATCCACATCAGAATATGCGTGTTATATAGCTTGCGTGGCTTGAAAGTATGTCTGGAGATTGAATTCAGGAAATTAATAATAATTATTATTCCTCCACATACACAGAGAATGACAAAACTCAGAAGCATGGAAAATGGCTTTTTTAGTATATTCTCTCTTTAAAAAAAAAAAAAAAAAAGTTATTAACATGCTACTTGCAGTATTAAATGCTGGAATAACTAACTAATGGGAAAAGTGGCTGGTTGGCTCTGCACCGAGAAGAAGACTTTAGGGAAATTCAGAGGTGTCCCCACTTACCTATGTATCCTTAATTTTTAACTTACAATAAGGTTCTTCTCCGAAGAAATGTGGGTAATAAAAATGCACCGCGATATGCGTGGGAGTGAACAGCGGTGTAGGTGTTCCGGAGCTTGAAGAAAGATACAAATGTGACAGAGACATTTTCGACATCATGCTGCATATACGAGACGAAGAAATGGGAATCATTCATTTCCTGCAGTTTCCGTTTACTTGGCGGCATGTAAATATATGTCGTGGAGGGCGGAACCCCTTTCCAAGGCTCTCTGCTCTCCGGGTAATTTAAAGCTGTTGATCAATTCTTTCTTTTTTTGAAAGCTCGTCCTGTCCAGAGAGAGGGATGATTCTCATCCGGGCATTGGCTGGGAGGAGGAGATTAGGCGCGGTCTCTGCATTGGAGCTGCCTGCGCAATATTCTTACAGGATATAAGCTCTGCTCCTCTCAAGAGCGATATCCATAGAGCGCTGTCCAAGTATTTTCTTTTTCGTTTGCTTCACTGATCAGACTGAAATCGATGTTTGTTGAAGAGGCTCGTTGGGCACTAAAAGTGACTTGAGATTTGCCTGCGTTTGCTGCGGCTGACAAGGTAACTACACCTTACTTTATTAGCGACTGTCCCCCCACTCACCTGGATGCTTTCTTTTTCCTCATCCTTTTTGCCTCCCTCTCTTTTGCTTATGCCCGCCCTTTTCGACTCGCCAGGGACGCTGTCCTGTAACGAACTTCCTTGAACTTGCATCGCATCCGTAATGGATGGGCGGTGTTGTCACTGCTGCTGTCGACTTGGCCGCAACACACTTGTTGAGAGCTGCTTGATTATGGCCTCCGCCTTCAACACTCACATACACACACACACACACACACACACACACACAGCATTTCGGTTATTAAAAGATAAAAATACCACGCTTGGCCTTCGTTTTTCCTCCACCGAGGCGAAAGAGTCGTAGCAGAGAGAGAGAGAGAGAGAGAGACATGACTGAGCTTCCATGGGAAGAGAGCGTGGCTCTACTGATGTGCAAGTGTACACCGACTGAATGGATTTGATTTGCTTTTTTCGCCCCCCACCCGCCTACCAAATCCAACCTGGGAAAGATATCATCGTCATCATCACCACCCTTGGAGCTGGCTCTGCATTGATATTGTCGTTCAGGCTGTAAGGACCTGCATGGCATATCGGGGCCTCATGCATGGACTGTAGCCGCCGAAGAGCCAGAACCTCTTGACACTAGGCCCATAATGACAAAGGTCTTCTTCTTCCCAGGGCCAATCACCACTACTGTGGCTTGCCGGTTCGCAATCTTTCGTTGGTTCCTGATATCGCAGGCATCGGTCATTGTCTTGCTGCCGTCAATGCGTTTTTCTAACCAAGCAGCAGGCAGCACAGGCGTGGACACCAAGCACGGCGATAATTGAACCTGAGTGGCTGGGAAAGCTCAAAGTTGACACAGAGTTGGAGACATCCTCTGCTGACAGACTCCCCCCCCTTTGTTTCATTTTATTTATTTTCTTTTATTGCATCCAGTAGTCAAGTGATTGGATATTTCTGACATCCGTCCACTTTGATAAGGGGGAAATTATAGGAGATTGAATAAACATCAATCAATCGACTTGAAGACTACAAGGGAAGCCAGCAAAGTAAGAACCAAAAAACACCCTGCGTCTCCGATAACTACCTGATATAAATAGCTCTCTGGGTGTGTTTGGGTTCCATTTTGCTCCGGATTTTATTTTCCAAATGACTCTCTACCCTGGTCGGTCCATACACAACTGCGGGGGCAGTCGTGGGGACCTTTTTTCTAGCAATGACCGATTATACACTGATTAACCAATCTATCGGCTTATCATTCCTGCTGTTTTCATTAATTGCTTGCTCTGAATTCTCTATTACGTACCGACCAGACCACGAGAACAATAAGTTTCTATTTTGGGACACCTGACGTTTGTTCAAAACCGTGGCAGTTTGTGTGTTTCGACCATTTATGCAACACAATCGTACCTGTATCTTCGGCTTTAAAAAAGCAAAAGGTACGCTGCAGGTCCTGTTAGAAGGTTCCAAGCTCCAGAGACTCGGTATCTCTGTGGAACATATCCAGCAGCACCATACAACCCGCGCTCTCCTGTGCAGCATCGTGCAAATCTAAACCCTAATCTGGCTCCTTCAAATTTTTGCGGCGTTTGGGAGGATGCTCTGCACGGGCAATCTCAGCTATTCCTAAGGGATTCCTGCAATTCGGCCTTCTTGTCACCGGTTGGGAGGGAGTGCTTATAAATGAACTACCTCTGGCTATTGGTTCTCAGCCATCGTTCAATCCCGTAGGACTTGGCAATGATGATGAGCAAGCATTCCATTGACGAATTGAACCTCAACCATCCGAGAAGTCCGTCTCAGCATATATTCACGTCCGCAACATCATTCCTCTTTCCAGGGAAACCACCCACACTTCAATTAGTCAGAGTTTACATCTGATAAAATTCACCTGGGTTGTTAGAGCTTTCTTAACAAAAAACCTTATAGAAGTTAGTCTCTATGCTACTAGTACTATTACTCGAGATTTTTTTTTTAACGGCTTTATAAACTAGACCGATGAGCTGATCGGCTTCATTGTTCGGGTGGACTTTATGTGCAGATGGTGTCTTGGCTGCCGTCGCTTGCATGTTGCTATACCATACATCCCCAGTCGTGTTTTACCCAGGCCAGATGACGACCTGCGCCATCATGCCTCGCAGTCAGTCAACGTTCACTGAAGTGTGACAAGGAGCTACACTGGGAGTTTTGACAAAGGTATCATTGAACAAATGTATTTCGTGGGTGCCTTTCTGGTATCAAGCTTCCTTTTGAGAAGCGCTTGAAATCTATCTGGGCTGTGTTTGTGGCCACTGCGAATAACCTCTCTATGAATTACCAGCACTGGATGAGATCAGCGAACTTGTATCACGAAAAGGAAAGCTGATTTCTCTATACATTTTGTCGCACCTCCGGGAAGACAGGGCGCAAATAAATATTGAATTACTAACCCTATTACGAGGGCCTCCTGATATAATCCGAGGCCCAAGGATAGTAGATGATTCGATACCTAGAGGGCTAATGGAACGTATAGGGAAGATTTACCATAGTCGCCACTGAAAACAAGTCATCTACAAGCCTTCACATCCAGGCTGGAACTCGACGTGGGTCAGATTTCGATACGGCTGGATGTTGTGCAACACGATCAGCAGGCGTCAATGCGTCATTCATTGTGTAATACGCAATTTAGTTTAACCTATCCAAGCAAGGAATCATTCTCGAAAATCAGATCTTCAATTTTCTGAATCTAGGATCCTTGAACTTCAAGCTTGCACTACTCTTATATACGGCATGGTTTCTCGGATTTATTCAATAAGGTCTCCGTCGTGTAGGGAAATGCAACAACAATACCAATAACCATCTGACGAAACACAGTACGGTCACAAATCAGTCATTTCCCTTCTCCATTCCCAGCTTCCCTTTGACCCAAGTCATCCGACGAAGGAAGTGAGAGGATCTCTAGCTCTTCCGAAGCAGTATGATTCCTTCGTTTAGACTGGGCTGTCTCACGATGTCCCCCTCTCCAACGGTATTGGGATTCGTCGTACGGTGACCCGCGGGTTGCATATGGGGGCGCTGCTCAATTTCAATTCAAGCTCAACGCCATTGTCCAATGGCAGAAGGGAAAGCGCATTTTCGTTCCCATGGATGCCAATCTTTGGATTACCATAGTCAAGCCACTATTTGTTCAAGTGCGTCTCCCTAGTTTCTCCCTCCTCTCTATTTCTTCCCCTAGGTTTCTACCTATGCTTCACACACGGGGAGATCACGGGGTGAATTAGGTCTGTCCATGGGGCGAGCTGGGCTTCCTCAGCAGCAGGGGGAAATGTTGGGGGGAAACCCAATAATAGCTCCGTCGGTTAGATTTACTGTGTTGGTTCGGTTCACATCTACCACTTGATCGAAGGGGCAGTCTCGTCCCCACGGAACTGAGTAGGTCTAGATTTTAAAAGTTCAACTTGATGTTGCAGTTATTTTGGCAACACTGATATACTCCATTCAAAGGATTCTGGCTCCAGCTCACCAGGCAGCCAGCCAGCAACGAAATCGGCGCCAATATTCAGCCCTCCTCGCCGCTTCCCATAGAGGAAGGCTTGGGAGCAGGCCGTAGCTGACGGTCTCGTGCTGCTCCTTTCTTCCTCTCTCTCATTTCGGCGTTGCTGTGAGAGTGCACAGTTTGATACTGATATTGAAGGACCAAATTACTATCAAATAGCATCCCCACCCACATCTTCCTTGTGAAACCAACTAGCTGAAGAGCCATTCTGGCAGTGATAAGACTTTGGAAATTAGATCCGGATCTACTCGCATGTGATCGCAATGCTACCCTCCGCTCCGAGCGAGTAGTAGTCCAATATACAGAAACGGACTGATAAAGGTGGAGTGGCTAAGCAGCTGTGTTAGTCCGTTGTGAGATTTCCATGCCTTCTCTCAGTTTTCTGTGGGAGGAAGCTATGCTTTTATAGATGCATTTTCTATGTAAGTAGGTAGCCTTGTTGCATAGGAAAAACGTGTGTGTATACCCAAGTTAGTCCCCCTGTCATTTCTGCATATTCGTGTAGTTGTACTGTAACCATCTATATACTCAGAGAATGAGAAAGGAATCTTCTTGGCTCTGCCTTTTTGTACCCCTGTGCCTGGGGTTGTTTCTTGACAGTAACTACTACTGTATATCGCGCAACCTCGTACAAAACTGTCTTCCATGTAATATTGACATCGAGTGGGATCCGTTGGCGGATATCCAAAGAGGAGGAAACCAGAACAAATAATAAATAAAAATAAATAAATAATAATTTTTAAAAATCGTAGCTCTTTTTAAAAACTCATAGGAATGTGTTAAATGCTAACTCATCGAAGCACATAAGCTTGAGGAATGAATCACTAAAACACGCAAAGAGATAGAATAAGCAACACAGATAAAAAGAAAATCCCTTCCCAAATGCCCGAGAACTGACTGTGTGCATCACATAGAGCATGCATACCTTGGCTTGCAGTAGCTGGTCCGACAGAGAATGTGGGCCACTCTCCCCTCCCCACCCCCAGAGAAATGATAGCACCGGCCTGTCCTCTGAAAATTGCAGGCCTTAAATGCGCCAGCACAGCCTCCATTGTGACCAAGCCTGGAACCGCTCCCATCTTCATTATCTCAGCTTCCCTCTGAAAATATTCTCTCAACTCCACTCTGGATTGTGCCGATTCGTTTTGCCGGAGATGGATATGAGATTGTTTTGAGAGAAACAGGGAGCAAAGGGGAGGGAAAGCTTGAGGATTCAAGTTGGAAATGGGGACGAGTTTTTGGTTAATTGCCAGGACACGCGCCCGATTTCGTTTTCCGGGGAGCCTGTGCCGAAACGTTCGCCTGCCCCTCGACGTGTTTGCTTGCACGAGATTAATAGAAGATGAACGAATTGTACACTCACATATATGTAGCGTGCATGCATCCTTCCTATCCATACGACCGTCAGTAATAATAGTAGAGAATCTCAGAGTCGAACGTGGAAGAAGGGGACAAGTGACGAAAAGTTAAGAGTTCAGCATCCCGGCCACTTGCCCCCACGGAACCATAAAATACACACTTTATATGTATATATATGCCATGCCGTCGATGCCCCGTATACATATATCCGACCACACCACTTCCCCCCTTCTCAACTAACAGCCGGCCAGCTGTCGGCCATATACCAACCTGCCTCCGTGCCACCAATATGAAGAAAAGGAACAGACGGACGCCGGATACTGTCCCATGCTTTCGTCGAGTCGGCCTTTGCTTTTGGGGGGAGGTCCTCTGTAGATGTCAGTGTAATAGCCACACCTACCCCCAACCTTCATCAGTTGCATTTGAATAGCCTGTGCTAGCTCAGAGGGGGGGGGGGTGGGATTTGGTAAATGCAAACGCCTAGCTAGGTATTTAGAGATCCATGTCTGATTTTGTTTCCTGAGTCATGGAGTAGTTGTCACATCGGGAATTGGAAGACAGCCCAGCATGCGTCCAGCGAGCGCGTTGAGATACACACAGCACCAACCACAGTCCATACGCCATGCACAATAATGGAGATGGATAACTCGCTACTAGCAAACGTAAAAGGGGGAGGGGGAATGAGAAGTAGCCGAGATGTATAGAACATACATCTGAAGGCTCTGTTGGAATAAACCCAGGCCAGAAGTGGAAAAAGGATATTGTAATAAGCGAATCGGATACGTAGTTAAAAGGGCTACTAGATACAACACAGAATACACGCATTGAAGTAATGAAGTAAAGGGGGTGGAAAGCTATAATAATGACAGATAGCGAACAGCGATAACAATAGCAATGATAAATTCAAAAGTAAAAGCAAAAGCAGCGCAGGAAAAAGATGTCAACAAACCAACAAGCAAAACAATATACGATGATGATGACAATGCAAAATTCATTAGGGGATTATATGCGCGTGGTGGATGCATGGGTGAATAACATGAAATAGATAATATACAATTATCAAAAACAGGGTACAACTTTTCTTGTTTTTTGTGCTTGGAGTTTTGAGTTGGGTGGATGGGGCGTAGATCATCAAGTCGTCAAGGGTATACGCTATGATGTGATATGTAAATCAATCATCATGTTATACCCTGGAAAAAATCGTGGCGGCATGTTCGTCGTTAAAATGTCCATCGTAACCAAAGGCGGAAGGAAAACGAGGGAGTCAAGGGAATAAGATAAATACACACACAGAGGATCCCACAGTTGAAAATGAAGCCGTGCTACTATAGAGATATAGCTGGCTAGAGCCATTCTTCTCTCGGAGGGTTTTCAGGGGGCTGGGGCTATTAACAGAAGGGAAAAAAGGGGGAAGAAGAAAAGGGGAAAGGGGGGAAAGGAGGTAAACGCCGTTCGTTCAACGTCTATCAACAATATCTGCAGACTAATATCCGCAAACGAGGACAAAAAAGGGAATAACAAAATGTTATTAGAAGGGGGATTATTCCAAGAAAGAAAAGAAGGAAAAGAAAAAAGAAAATCAACATACACACAATCACCCACTCCCAACCTGATGTTGTTGCTGCTGCCCACCACCACCACCAACCGCAGTCTCAGCCCTCACCAAATCGCGAATCGCCCATCTCCACCCCTCACCCACCCCCGCCCTCTCGGCACAAACCCACTTCCCAACCTTCCGCCTCCATTTCTCCTCCTCCGCCCTCTGCCTCCTAATAAACTCAGGCCCTACATCAAACTCCTCCGTAATCGGCCACTCATCTGAAGACTCCCCGCCACTCCCGCCGCTCTTATCCTCTACCCCTACACTCCCAATTCCAATTGCACCCAGCAGCGCCTCCTGAGCACCCGCGGCAGTATTACTCGGTTTGGATTTAGTTTTAAGTTTATCCTCCAAATCATCCAGGCCGTGAAGCAATTCTTCCTCGTCAGGCGCAAGGGTGAGGTTGCCCTTGCAGGATTGGGTGGCAGAGGCGTTGACTTTTAGCCAGCACATGCGGTGGGGGTCAAAGGCCATGCCGCCGACGACTTGGACGCCAGTGGAGTTTATGTTTGTGATTAGGGCGGGGGAGGGTTTGGGGGATTTGGGTTTTGTTTTGTGGTTTTGTTTGTGAGCGTGGGTGTGACTACGGGTGGGGGAGGGGAAGGGGGAGGGTTCGAAGTCTAGAGTTGCATTTTCGTTGCCTTCCCATTTGTAGGTTGTCGGGTTGTAGCGCATGCCCTTGACAGCTAGAACATCATGGTGCGTAAGCTTTATGCGAAATTATACGGACAGCAGCGAAGGTTATATGACGCTATAAAAAATAGAGATGTAGACTGCGGATAAGCAACTTACATTTCGCCTCCTGCACCCCCGTACCCAACGGCTTTATAAGATGCGGCTTGATATCCCCAGACCCCCTCATCCGCCTATTCCTAACTACTCCAAACGATGGTGGCTGTCGCATAGCTGTCGTAGCCGTGGTCGCCGTTACCGATCCCGCCGCCGCCGCTGGAGACTTCAAATTCGTACTAAACAGACCTAATGTCGTAACGTCCCGACTCTGCGCCGCAGCAAACCCCAACGACGCAATCCTCTGCTCCCGCGCATTCCTCGACGCATTCGTATCACGCGCAAACCTAGGCATAAACTCCTGCTTGGAAGGACTCGTGTGAGGCCTGGGGACAGGATTGTTATTCTGCACCATAGGCATAAGCGGGGGCACGATGTTTGACTGGCTGAGTCTGGAGCGCACTGAGCGCGGCGCGCCGTAGCGGATGGGGTGTTTGACGAATTTGCTCTCGTGGGAGGCGGAGGTGGGGAGGTCATCGAAGATGTCCAGCTCGGAGCCGTCGCCGAAGTTTCGGCGGCGGTTGGGTTTTGTGATTGTTTGCTTTACGGTTGCGGGGAGGGTGTCGGCGGGGGCGAGGTTGAAGTGGAATGTGTTGCGGCCAGGGGCCTCGGGGCGGTCTTGGTTTGAATTTGAGAGGCGGGATGTAGCGCGGGGGTGTGAGAAGGGGTCGCTCGAGCTGTCGGAGTCAGTACGTCGGTAGTGACGTGGGGTTTTAACGTTTACATGGTGAGACTGATTTTGTGAGGCTCCGGGTGGGAGGAAGGGGATGGGGGGTCGACGACCGGCGGGAAATCGAGGTTCAGCGGTTGGTGTTTTCGGGCGAGATGAGGTCAGGGGTCTAATGGCCCCATCTTGGCGGGATGGGGTCCGTGGAATCGGAGGTGCTATTCCGGTTTGATGGACGTTGCGTAACGCTGGCACGGATCGTTTCGCCTTCAGCAGCTGTGAAGTGGTAGTCGTCGGTACACCTCGTATAGTATCATCAACCGACTTCCTATTTCCAGGAGATCTACGACTTGGAGTCTTCGGAGTCATTGAAGGTGGAGATATGGTTGATGGACTGGAGATATTCGAGAGAGACGAATGAGCGCTGTGACCACTCAAACGTGAGTGAGGCCTTCGATATTTGGGAAGTGGCGCGCCGCTCTCTGAGACGGGCTCAAGCTGTGTAGAATGAGGACGCTCATGGCAAGATAATCTAGGAATACGAGTAGTCGAGGGTGCTGGGGGCTTATTTGTGAAAGTTATGCTGGTCGCGGTGCGTCTTGCGGGGCTTATTGGCCTGGTAGTTTTGCATATAATATTGCGGTTTAAGGTCAGTTTGCCCGAGTCAAAAACCTCACCGTCCCCAATTTCGATTCCTGAAAAGAAGTCATCGTTTGGCGGAGGCGCCAGATTTGGACTCTGCTGCTTTGGTACAGAAGTTGGAGGTGAATGTGACAACTGAGATTGCTGTCTTTTCTTGATAGCCTGGTCAAGGTCTAGCGGCCCATCCGGTAAAAGTAAGCCATCAAGGCCGTCATCGCTTCCAACTGTCAGGCAACTAGAAGGGCTTGGGCTCATTGCTGAGACGGTGGAACTACGATTAGAAAATCCTTCCCTTTTCGTCCCACCAAAACGCACTCCAATACTTCCCTCCGCCCATTCAGTATCGAAGTCATCAAGCGAGGGTTCTGGGGATTTGACCCTATCCTTTCTTACTGACAGTTTCAGAGTTTCGCAATTAGTGGGAAACTCCAGATCAGCCTCAAAATTGTCATCCTCTTCACTTGGTTTCTTTGCAAATTTGGCGAGAACAATCTGCTGCGACCGTGATTTCGCGATTTTGATAGTGGGAACATCATGGAAGGAACTGTCATCATTCGTACCACGAAATTGTTCCAAGTTGGTAACGTTGGATGACGATATTCGTTGCGGGTAAGGACTTGCGGTATCAGAAATAAATGGATCCGGATCTGGGAATTTAGAGGGGCTAGACTCAGGAAATGAGCCAAGAAGTAGTAGCGAATCTGGAAATGCTTCTTTGCGATTCAGCTTCAGCTCAAGATCCCCTTCCGTGCCGGGAAAATCAAGGTCTTCTGACCAATCATCTCCAATAACCCTTTTAATCTTCCTGCCCCCAAGTCGTTTGATTGTCCCGCCAAGCAAAGCCGAACGGGGAACATTGGCAGGAAGTGGAATTCCAGCGCTCTTCGCTGACGCGATAGCATCCTTCATCGCACCCTCGTCATTGTCATGCAACAGGAGCTGCCAGTTCTCCTCATCGCCTCCATTGGAGTCCAGATCCGACCTGCAGGAACGGCGAGAGGAGAAGGAGTCACGATGGCCGGATTGCCGGAAGGAAGATGACCCTGCCACAGAGGTGCCGGCTGAAACGGTACGAAACTGGATGTCATCGTTACATTGCAGATCTTCGTCGTCATCCCAGCATTCAATGGATTCTTCTGCTTCTCGAGTTTGGCGCAGCCTCAGTGGAGAAGAGGATGTCTCCATTGCTGCTGTGCTGAGCTGAGTTGGTACCTTTTTCCCAGCTTGGCTGGCTACCCTTCCTTCCGTAGCTTCCAAGTAGCCTTCTGTATTCAGGACCTGTCCGGATTGTCTAATCTATATAACTTTTTTTTCCTTTATCTTATCTTAGAAAAGAGTTTGGGTGACGCTTCTCGCTTTCGATGGTGAACTCTGATGACGTTGGACCTTGACAACAGACAGAGGCGAGGGAGGAGGAGAAAGTCATTCCGCATTTTGGAATCTTCATCTGTTTGCAAATGAGATTTCCCGGGGGGGGGGGGGGGGGGGTGGTGTAAATCTGAGGGTTGGCCGGAGCTGAAACAAGCTTGCAAACAATGGTAGGTTTGATGAGCAAACAAATTTTTAAAATAAGATGGATCTTGAGAATGCTATATGCGTAAATTTTGCACTGCTCCGTTCTTCTCGAATGTGTTGTAACATGCGATTGTCGAATATTCTCAATTTCTCGATCTGGCTCTACCCATAGAGATAGAGAGAGAGAGAGAGTGGAAAGGTAAGTGCCCAGCAAGGAAAGCTTTATAGAGATAAATAGGTTATACAGGGGCCTGGCGCAGATTGTGCTTTTTGCGGGAACACGGCCTGAGACTGAGACAGGAGCTGAACTGGGATAATTGGGCAATGGAAGAAGACAGCTGGATATAGATGAGATCGAAATAGTTGCGAGGCGGACGTTGAGGAGAGGAGGGTGGATGGTTGCAGGTGTAGGTGTAGGAAGGGTCCGCCAGCAGTTCACCTGCAGTTCACCAGCAGGATACCGAGATGTATACTCGCCGTATGCTCTCCGTGTATATGGTGAGGTAGTGTCGATGTCTTGTTTACCCTTGCTCTCTCCTCTCCTCTTCCACTCTGCGGTTGTCGTCGTCGTCGTTTTGGCTGATCCAGTGAGGTTGGGGCCAAGCCCGGAGTTGAACGCGCTCAGGCGCCAGGCCCGATGCGGTGTGCTAAGCGAAGCGCTGGCGCGTGGCAGCAACGCGTCTCCCCGGTAGCCGAGCCAGCTGTCACGTGGCTGTGGCGCATACAGTTATCCGTTGTTGTAATGACGATACCATTACATATTATGGGGTAATTAGTTACATCACTTGCTGTTGCTGCTGCCTTCAACAACAACAACAACAACAAGCCGAAGCTATCGAACATATTTGACCATTGGGCATTTGGACATGGAATATTCGATGCTGGTTATGTTATTGCATTTGTAGACCTCACACCTTTATGAAATATTGGTAATCCAACAAAAATGCCCAAAGAAAACCTACTGCGCATCAAGCGCAGCGACAGTCCCGGCGATTACATCTTGGTTCACGTTACTAGGCCAGGAACTGAGGACCTCGATCTAAAGCTCGTCGCCACAGAAGGGGAAGCCCCGTACAGAGCCTCAGGTCTGTATGCAATATATCCATCCCCTAGGAAATTGTAATATCCACCAGCTAATGCCATCGCTGCAGTAAAATCCGTGCAAGTAAACAAACTACGTGCCAAAAATTACCACGGCGGAGATGATGAGTGGACGGGCATTCTTGCGTATGCGCTTGGGCAGAGACAGTCAACCTCAGTGCCCGAGGAGCATAAGGCCGGATTGAAGGTCGTGGCGGCTGTGAAGCAGGACGAGGATGATGAGAGCAGGAATGAGATTGTTATTACGCTGATGAAGAGGATTGATACAATTACGGTATATATAAAAAAAAAACTATATATATCCCCGTCTCTCCTCCATCTTCTATATCCTTTTGATTTTCAGAACACTTTCTAACAACCCACCCTCCATCCCCTTCAGCAAAGACTAGGAACAATAGCCCTCAAACAAGATGACGATCAAGCCATCCAGCTTTTCGACTGGACCGGCATCGCCATATCCCGAGCAGAAGGCCTCGAGAACCAGCTCCTCTCTCTAACGGCCAAATACACCGCCGCAGAGAGTATCATTAGCAAACTCAACGCACAGCTGCAGGAGCTAATCAAGGAGAAAGCGCAGCATGATGATCAGCTCATCGCCAAGTTCTCTCAGTTGCTCAATGAGAAGAAACTGAAGATTAGGAATCAGCAGCGGCTGTTGGCGATGGCAAGGATTGATGGGGATAAAGGTGCAGTTCATATTCTTCTGAAATTATTTTGCAAGTTTTGGACATGTTCGTTAAATGTCCACCCTGCTAATCCTCCATATGCACCCACCATAGAATCCAGTGTTAGACAACGCCATCCCAAACGCAAAGCGCCTGAACTGTCCATCTCATCTGAAAGCGAGGATGGCTTTGATACCATGGACGTAGATCAGGGTGGAAACCCAGCAACCAACAAATCCACCACCACCACCAACAGCAATAACAACAACAATAATAATACAAATGACACCTCCGCCGTTAACCCCGACGCCGAAGACGACCTCTCGTCCACCTCAGAGCGCCAAGATACCCCTGACCCCCTCGAAGACGAGGATGAGGAAACTGCCACAGAAGATGAAATGGATCCGCCACAATCACCTCCAGCACCAGCAGCGCCGGCAGCCACAGCTGTGAGTGACGGCAGGAAGCGAGGCGCGTGTGCATCGTCGAAGCAGCCCGTGGCATCATCACCGACGACGAGGACGGCTAGAGAGCCGATGACTAGCCCACCCCCACGTCGGGAGTTGCCGTTTGTGAGGAGGATGGGGCGTGGGAAGGCGCCTATGCCTTTCCCGGATGAGGATGAAGATGAGGATGATGAACTGTGATGTGATGGGCTATGCAGGTGGTGTAGCCACCCTTTAGCATTTCCCGCTTCCCATGTCTATTAGTGAATTTTCCAGGATTTAGGATGTATGCACTGAACCGAGGTTTGAGAGGACCTGGGCGAGGGAAAATGTAATGTGGATTCGTGGTTCTGGGGTGTGTTAGTGAGACTATCTACATCTACATTGCATCCATTGATGGTGCGCGGGACATGAACAGTGCGTTGAGTTTTCGGCAACTGCATGCATGAACTGTCCATGCCTCCGCCTCCGACGCATGGCTGTTAATTTTCCTTTTTCTTATTGATACGTGTTATTGGATGAAGAGGGAGGTATGGATATTATACCAGAAATGGATAATAGCATTCCCCCCAGGGAAGTTCACTTGTTCAGTGTCTTGATATGAGAAGATACTATCTTTAAAATCGTGGTTTTGTTGGGAGGAAATGATGATTACAGGTTATCCTCAACTCTCCCTCCCCTTCTCTGGGAGAAAACTACAATATATAATCCATTCCATTTCTCCTCCGCTCTCACTGCTTGTTTCGAAATCCATTTCACCTCTGTACTCCATTTGGAATACAACCTCCAATCCTTCAAGGCTACACACGTTCCCCACTTCCCTCCCCCGCAATCCCCGCAATGCCCAGATACAGATAGATAAATAGCACACGCAGCGTAAAGGAGAAAAGAGCTTACTCCCACTCCCAACCCACCAGCAAAACAAATGCGCACATAAAACCTCATCTCCTCCCCCCCCACCCGCCCCCAGCCTCACTCCTTTAACCAAGACCTACAACGTCCGGACCGCCCAAATCAATTTCAGACTTCATTTCCTTCTCTTAACAAAAGGCTTTTATATATGATTTTTCACCCTCCATACAATCCCCGTACAAACAACCTTCTCTCCACCCGGTCCTCTGCAAATCCTACCATCCATCCCCTCAATCTCAATCTCAATCACAGTCGCCTCATAGCATACACCAGATGCCTACGAACATCCCTCAACGTGTTGGTATGCTATGATTATGTTATCTGTGAAGTTGCATCCACGCGCGAGTGGAACAGGTAAGGGGTATATGATATAAATGTTCCTTGTTCTTTTCAGGGGCTAATAGTCAAGGCCTACCGTTTACGAAACAGTATATCTGCCACATAATTATCCGTAGAGGTATATTGTAATATTACTGACATTGCTTGATGTCGGTTCTAACTTGCCCGTCACCATCTACCCCTTTATCTATCTATTTAGGAATTTATCTAGATACGTCCATTCCACTCAACCAACTACTAACCACACAAACAAACGTCCACCCCTTTTGCTAACTTTTCTTCGAAATGTCTAGTTACGCTAAGCTTCCCTTCCATCCCCATATTGTTTGGGAAATGTTGTTTCCGGGTTTCCTGCTCCGCTTGCCGCTTTCTCTGACCCCCTCTTTCTTTAATCCATCATGGATGAATGGACCACTCATGAAGAGGCTTCTGCACCTTTTCCTTTTGAATATACAAGTACATGTTATATCACATGTACCACACTTCTTCTACAAATTAGAACAGCGAGGGAAACGGCTCAGGCACAAAGGACCAGGAAAGAAGAGAGAAGGAGAAAGACACAGACGAAAACCTTGAGTGACGCAAAAACGAGGAACTATATCACTGACATGAAAAGTCACAAAATGTAGAACAGAACGGAAAAGAGAAGAAGAGAGTGAGAAAAGAGACAGAGAAATGCTAACTAGAAGGGTCATTTTTAATGTTGAGAAAAAAGGAAAGAAACGTAAATACAAGAATTAAAAGAAAAAAGAAAAAAAGATATTAAGCGGGCTATTTTAAGCGCTTGATGCACCGCTCATACGTTCCTGTTCCTCCACCGCACTTCCGATCATGAAGTTGGTATCTGGATTTCCCGTCCTCTTGGCCGCGGAGCAGCGTGCCATCGTCGGAGAGCTATAATTTCAAAATTAGCACCGTAATACACACTCACAAATTAAAAAGGGGAAAAGGCGACCGCAGAAATCTCTCTCAACATACCTCCTCGAAATAACATCCGTAAAATAAAAATCCTCCACAACCCTCCTGAACCCCTCCCCACTCTTCCCACTTCTCACCTCCCCGCTCTTCCCATCCCTATTCCCATTAACAAGCTGCACTCTCCCCAACGTCCCCACCATCCCC